AGGTTTAGAAACCAGCCCGTCCCAATCGATTCTCCACGGTTTGCTCTTCTTGCCATTGGGAATGAGCATGGCAGTCCAAAGGAAAAAAAGCACGGATGTGAACCATGTCCCCATCATCTAACCTGAGGGTTTAGAAATGAGAAAGGGTGTGAATTAGCTGGGAACGGGTAGGGGAAACAATGTCTAGCCGTGTGTGCATTGTGTTTCACAGCGTGTTTTTTAGGATTACTGGCTGCTAGACGAGTGTGTATGCTTGACAAATAAGATTTGGCAAGTATTTTGCCCTGCTTATCGCCATGCGATATGAGGACGATCGCCGAGACGGAAGCCAACAATAGAGGCAGGAAATGAAGAAGGATGGATATGCCGAAGGAAAAGAAAGGGAAGCGGAAGATAACTTTCCCCTCAGCTTCCTCGTTGGAGTTTTTTAAGGGCATGCAGTAGATCCGTTTTACTTAAAACCAATATCAGGAGAATGGGCCTATGAGGTTTCTGATATGGTCAAATTATTCCAAGGAAAATGAAGAAAAACCGATGTTACGCATGTCTCCTATTAAGACTTAATTAAGGACTGTGGGAAATAAGCGTTGAAACCGAGGCAGGAGAGATCCAACGAGGCCCTGGCATCATGCGACATCTAGCCAATGACGACGGCACCGAATCTTCACGGAAAAGAGAGAGAGAGAGAGATGCAGACTGCACTTGAGCCCAATTCAATACGATTGTTTATTATAGGGTGAAATCTTTTGTCGCTTTTGCTGCCGGACTTCATTCACGTGCATTGTAATCACAGGCAAAAATTAGCGCATAGGTGCACCAGCACTGTTTTGGTGCAAAATGCTTCGCACCAGCAATTTTATTCGCCAGTCGAAAGCAGACCAGAGAGGAGGCAAGACAGGTGCAACTGGGAGCAGTCACAAACCCCAAAACAAATGTAATGCAATCCAATTGTTCTCTCTCAAGGGCGAATTATCCGGGAATATCAATGTTATGGTTTCGTGAGCATCCACACTACCGTGAAATTCTCTCGTTTATGGTCATTTCCAAGCTGCTCTGATATCCCACGTCCTTCGAAGAACATGTCCTTCGAATATTATGTCTGGTACAGTTGGATTTAGAACGAGATGGAGAGTGCGCTTTTACAAAGTGACCTGTCTCTCGACTGAATTCTCATAACAAGAACTAAATGGCTGACTGGAGATGGCTTTCGTGCAGACAGATCCGAAGACTTATAAATCATAATATTTATTTCCATAAAAAAAAAATTGGTCACACAAGGTCATTATGTTTCCCTATTACAATGAAGATCTGCAGCTAGAAAGGTTATTCTTAATAATAAAAAAACGGGAAAGCGTTGGTTGGGAACATCGATCAGGGACTCATTCAACTATGCAAGCCTAGGGTTCCCCGAAGGGGCTTCGGACAACTTTCTTTGATTTTTTATTCCTGGAATACGAATTCTGGAATCGCCAGATAAGCACACATGCACGTGCGAGATTACCGAATCGCATGAACCATCCTGGAAGGTTTAACGTATCGTACCATCCGGAATAGCCTAATAGATATACCAGTAATTCGAACCCTCAATTGGCTCGACCGTGTTACAGCCGTGCCTCTTATCTTGTCAAAGGGCATTGGATATCGGCGTTCGTGTCGTTACGGACCTTCCTGGGTGGTTCTTTCCTGGCATGCAAAAAGCAAGTTTTTACATTCCCGAGCGTTCCTGAGCCGTCGTGTCGAAGCCTGTCCTCCAATCGGGTTGGAAGTCTCCTTCTGCAGAGGGCAGCGGTTGTTGGTTCACGAGCTCGTCTTTCGTGAGGGTGGGAGACAAGTTCTTCCGTGTGCGACGATACTGTATGTGCATTGAGACTGGTTATTGAAGCATTACCGTTCTCGAGAGAAAAAGATGTTCGTCCTTGTCTCAAACGTCCACCTATACGTAGAAACCTCAGAATCCAGTAATGCTGGTTCGCCGTCAGTATAAAAAAGAAAAAGAATTTCCATTCCAACCCTTGGTGCGTTGTCTTATCTAACACTACTGCTATGTTCCTCATTCCCTTTCACAATTACTTTATTGCTTTGACATGTTGGTCAATTTAGTTTTTTTTTTTTAATTGGTAAGAATGACAGTAGCCCAACAACTCAAGTAACGTAACGGCTCTGGAGGCTGCTGTTCCCTTTGGGTGAAGGAAAGATCTAACTGTTGTGTTTGTCTTCTAGAGCAGCGGTTCCCAAACTGTAGGTTGCGACCCACTGGTGGGTCGCGAGAGGCATCAAGGTGGGTCGCGTACATTTTCCCACTTTTAAAAATCACTATAGCCGCATCCGCTCAGGATAAAATATAATAATAATAATCATGGTTTATCGAAGATCAGGACTGTTAGAGCATAAGCAAATTGGTATCTATCGTCATTTTGAGGGTGAAATTACGAAATCATTGAGTCAAGGATATATGAAGTGAAGTGGAGAAGTTGGGTTAGGTGGATGTTGCGTTCACGAGGCGGGTCATATAGGGGACTGCTGATTTGAAGAAGTGTTGGATTCTGCACTTGAATTCCAACAAGAAATGAGAGATATTACGTCGCAAGGTCATTGAGGGCACCTGCCGGAGGGGGGGCAGGACAAGTCGACGAGATGGGTTGACTAGAAGGGCTTGGGCATATTTTAATGTGAGTTTCTTTCGTCTGTCTATCAGAGATGGCAGCTGAAGAGTAGATAGAGCCTTCTTATATGACGTAAATTCGCTCCCAAGGATGAGCCGAAAAGCGCGCCTTTGGACTAGCTCAATTGAATTTGTTAAATTGGTGGCTCTGCAGGAAAGGTCAATCAGTTTTCTTCACGTCATAATTATTTTGAAAATACCTCGTTCTGGATTCCGGTGGGTTGCGAAATTTTTTGTACGTCAGCAAGCGGGTCGCGATTCAAAGAAGTCTGGGAACCGCTGCACTAGACTAGCGGTTCCCAAACTGTGGATCGGGTACATTTTCCCGGTATAAAAAATCACTATATCCGCATCCGCTCAGAATGAGATGCCTTGCGGAAGAAGTCGGTCAGTTTTCTCCGCGTCATAATTAATTTGAAAATATCTCGTTCTGGATTCCGGTGGGTCGCAAAATTTTCTGCACGTCAGCAAGTGGGTCGCGATTTAAATAAGTCTGGGAACCACTGTTCCACTGAGAGTGTGGGGTTGGACCTCATTTATTCTCCCCAATTAATTTAGTATCGAAACCAGTGTTTGCCCTATTTCTCTTCATGGGCTGAACCGACGAAACGTGAAAGGGGACAAATGTCATCATTCCACTTATGCTGTAGTCATATTCGTTATTAACGGGTGTACTGAAGTGACTGCGGAATAACATGTCTTTCGATTGACATTGAAGAAAGCTCAACTTTGGTATGAGTGCATGTGTCCTCTCTCACGTTTCGGTCATCTTTGACCTGAAGAGACTTCGATGTAAGAGGATCAGGCACTCATAATACTCATGCATTTCTTGCCCATTCGATGTCTCATATGCTGGACACACTAACACCCTTTTAAACCTTTAATCACAACATTTAGACGCTGTCAAATTGTTCCCTCAGCAAGCATGTAAATATGGCGGATCCATTCTATCCCATATAGCGATCCAGCCATCTAATCGAAATCTCATTACAGATGGGAATAAGGTTAGGTTAGCTTTTTATTTTACATTTTTGAACTATAACGCGTTGGAGTTTGTTGAAGAAAAACAAAACTTGAAAGAAAAAAATGTATCCTGTGGGGCGAGAGAAGCCCTGTCAACGATATACACTTATATGTCTGCGTATGTAATCAGAAACTGCAGGCAAGGTCTCCAGAAAGCGAGGAGCGGGAGGGGCTCCAGTTCTGTAGTGTCTCGGCGGGACTCGGAACATACGAGAAGGCAAGGCGTGCGCATCACGTGTGAATTGGGTCTCGAGCATGACGTCAGATTGCATGCTGTACGTTCCTCTACCCCATTGGCCTCTTCCTGCCCCAGCTGAGTTGGAGAGTGGAGTAAGCATGTCACCGGCGGTACCTAGCCACAGAACACAAGAACTGACAAGGATCTCCTTAAGACAGTCCTGTCCAGTATAATTGCAAAGTGGAAGTGCTGTAATTGTAAAGTGGAAGGGCTGTCGATTAGACCCAACCTCCCCCCTTGTGCATACGGCTAACGTAGAGCATTTCGATTGGATCATGTTTGACGAAAATAGGGGAAGGCTTAGAGCCAAAATATGCCTGCAATTGGTGAGAATTGAAGTAACAAACTTCGGGATTGGTGTAGGCTTACGATAGGCCTAAAGTTAAGCTGAGACCCAACGTTAGCGTACGTTTATTGATGGCGACTGCCCGTATCCAGGACCCTTACAGGTACTTTCACACTTTTGCAGTTGAATCTAGGCAAATTGATTATGCCTATAGGAATCCCCATGCATGGGTAATGTTAAGTGAAACAGTGTCGAATTCAAGTGCAAAAGCCGTAGTAGGTCGATGCTTGGGTGACCCCACAGTCAAGGCCCAGATCTAAATTTTCTGGGATTCTGTTGCCTCAGGGCTTAGACATTATTATTTTTTTAAAGACTAATTCTATATTACTGCAAATCATTGAATTTTCTAATTATCTGAAACTCAGTTGAAGTGATTATTGAAGCAACTCACCAATGGAAAAAAAGTGGGAGGGTGGGGAATTGAACCCAGAACATTTGGTATTGACAGCCAAATTGCAATCCAGTGGGCTAGAACTCTACCAACTTTTGTTGTTGAGGGAGAAGCAGGTAGTTGGGGATAGTGCCAAACCACATCATACACAAATGTCATAAGCACATTCTCATTCTTGTGATTGTACATATGAGAAGGCTTTAGCTTGTACCTTAGAAATGGATTAGTTTAATGCTGTTTTGGATATAAGCTCTCACTTTCTGGAAACCATATAGGTCTAGGATTTATGGCCTCACCTAACTGCTATGGTAGATCCTACTAGCTGTTTACTGTGCATATTCATTATAGGCATAAGCCAGAGCAGGGTGCATCCTGTCTTGTTCAACTTCATATTGATCTTGTGATATCCAAACGTGACACATTGGCATTGATTAGGGGATGTTTCGCACATCAGTCATGATGCAAGTACTTTATGGATCTCCACTCCTATTGCTGTTCATTCTCATGTCAGGAGGATATGCAGTGCCAAAATCAGAGAGAGTGATAGAGAAGGTATGTTTACAGTCAGATATGGGCTGGAATGGAACTTGAAGCTGTAGGCCTACATATGTATATGCCTGGGCCAACTACCCAAAAACTAACTCATTTTTTTGTTGTCCTTCAGACTCTAAGTGATCAAGATCACTTCAAGGCTGGAGATCACAATGTGGACTATGATCATGATGCATTCTTGGGACATGATGAAGCAAGGGAATTTGAGGACCTGTCACCTGAAGAATCTAAGAAACGACTTGGGTGAGTATTTAACACCATGCTCCTGTTTTTATTATTCAGTTCTTGACTGAATGTCAATTGCTTGCCATTATCCTGGACATTGGATTGATTATTTTATTTCATTTCTTTCTCAGAGATCTGGTTGAAAAAATTGATAAGGACCAAGATGGTTATGTAACAAAAGAAGAACTGACTGAATGGATCAGATATACTCAGAGACGTTATCTGGATCAGGATGTCAATCGACAGTGGGATGAAGCAAACAAGGAAAAGAAGGAGACCATTGATTTTGATGCCTTTAAAAAGTTCTCTTATGGCTTTCTTGATGGTGAGTTATTAATTTCAGACTGATTTAATGATGGAACTATGTACTAATAAAGTATGCATGAAATCTATCTGAACGTGTGTGAAGCCAGTAAAAAATAATTCAGTGTCCCTTTACTTTACTTACTAGTGAATTTTGCAGTTCATGTTGAAATATAGTAGAGTTAGCACTAGTCTTCATAATTTTCTAAAATTTGATGATTTTATCTCCTTTGAGGCTTTCCAGAGAATGAAATTGAGTCAAGTGACCATGAACTGTACAAGGACATGATGGCAAGGGACAAGAGACGTTGGGAAGTTGCAGACCAAGATGGTGATGGCTTGCTGAATAAAAAGGAATTCTATGATTTTGTTCATCCTGAAGAGACTGTCCACATGAGGGATATTGTAGTCAAAGAGACCATGGAAGATATTGACAAGGACAAAGATGGGAAGATTTCCCTTGAAGAGTATATAGGTAAGCACTGATATTTTCAACGATCACATATTCAGAGTGGGAAGAGTTACGTGAGGGTTGGTAGATTGAAACCCTTTTTTTTACATTTTCTTTTTACTTAAAAACCTGGTCAGTTTTACTCATGAACAATTTAAGAAATGAGACAATGACAGATACTATAATAGATTATGAGTAACCATTTTGATCATCAACCACCTCTTGATGCAAACTTGTGCTATGCTCTTTAATTACAATTTTTTTTTTTTTAGCCTCCAATAATTTTATTACTGTTGTTCATTATGAACCATCTGTTTCATGGATCAATGTTATAGGTCAAGTTATGTATTATCAGCATATGTCTGGTCAAAAATAGAGAATTTCTTCTAACTGCTCTCAAGGGAGGGTCTGAGTTGTGACCATCTGAACATGGAGAAGGCATGACAGGTAAAAGAAAAAAAGAACTGTAAACCTTTTTCTTGTCTCTTTACTTGAAAATTGTTTTACTGGTACATTTGTGTTATCAGGTAATGGTCTAAAAGGCTTCAAAGTATGCATGCAAATATACAGCTGAAACATCCATAATACATTCATGCTGTAAACTAGCATATTTTCAATGTCTCTCTTTCTTTGATGGAATATGAGCTGGTGTTAGCTGTAGTATTTCCTGGCACATGAATCACAAATGCCACTATCTTACTGATATGAGGGGTGTTCAAAAAGTTATTGAAATTAGTATTTTATTTACAGCATACATGGTATTTCCAAAATGTTAATACTGCAGTCCTTCAAAGTATTCACCCCATGATTGCATACACCGACCCAAGCAGTGAAGCCATTCTGAAAGGAATCAGCATCTGCTTCTTTGGGTACCCTCCACAGCTCTGAATGAACAGCTTTAGACAGGTCTTGGATGCCACTGAAATTTCATCCAGCCAACTGTTCAACAAGGAAACGCCCAGAAGTCACAGGGGGCTAGATCTGAGCTATGTGAGCCATAGCCTAGATCTAGCCTAATGTGATTTCTGGCTGTTTCATGTTGTTATCTTTTCTTATCTGGACATCCATATATCGTAAGGTATCATAAGGACATATATCATTAGGTAGACCAACCCCTCTACCCCCTCTTAAACAGGTATTTTTGGCCATTACCTTGTACTTCATGCATTCTACACATTCACTATCCTGCATGTAAAGAAGTCCTGTTGCAACCAGTGCCTCACCTGGGGTTTATGCAAGTCAAGTTGGTTTCCTCTCTTTCTGTTGGTGCCATCAAACTGAAGCCCATCACATTCTACATTATCAATTCCCTTAGTAATCATAAATGTCTGGATGAGGTCCCCTTCATGAACTGTCTCTTGAGTGAGTACAGTCCCAACACTTGTAAATGCTTCTCATGTGAAATTCCCCTCTACTTCCTTGATCATTCTCGTAACCTGGCCCTGGGCCCTCTTGAATGCTGTTAGTTCATCTTTATTTGTAGGCCTCCAAAACTGAATGCAATGTTCCAAATGGGGTCCCACCAGTGCTGCATACAAAGGAAGAACAACGCACAAGCTCTTTCTGGCTATGGAATGTTGGGTGAAGCCTAGAGGCCTGTTATATTTAGCTACCATCACTTTCTTATACAAGGAAAACTCAAGTTCTCCTTGTATGTGAAAGAAATAAAGTTGGGATGTTTATCTGAACATAATGCAACAATACCCATTCCACTGCTATTTAATGACTCATACTGTAAAATAAGTTATTGCAGTAGTATTTCTTATACTTCCTTGAAATAAGATGCATCCAATCAGGGAAGAGTGGTACTCATGATCCTTCAAATCACGAGTGCTTCTTAATTGCAATGGAAAAGGCTGGAAACTTCTTTTTGGCCCTCTTTATACATGGAAATTCCAAGGCAAGCATTATATAACATGCAAAGGGAATATAACTTGCAAAAGATGACTGACCTCTCCATTTTCATCTTCTTTCCTATAGCTTTATCAACTGATTCCTTCTGCCAGAGCTTGGTGTACATCAGATTCATGCTGAAAATGAGTTTTGTGTGTAATGCATATGATAAGTATTTAAAATTTTTCAATTGGCTCCCATCAATGATGGCCTAAATCACAAGTGAGATTCACATATTCATGTAAAATCTCATATTCACCTTTCCATTTTTCAGAGATTTTAAGTCAAGCCTTTGGAATCAAATTGAAATCTCAGAAAATAAGTCATAATCTCAGAGTTTGCATTGACTGCATCCTTGTAGGTGATATGTATCATGGTGCTGAGGGAGAGCAGGAGCCTGACTGGGTACAAGCTGAGAGGAACCAGTTTGGTGATATACGTGACAAAAATAAGGATGGATTCCTCGATTTTGAGGAGGTAGAGTGATACATTATTTCCAAAGAAATTGGCATCTCTGCATAAAGTATATGTTGGCTGTTTGATGGAGCTTTGCTATGTCTGAAGGTCTTTTTGGAAATAGGTGAAGCAGTGGATCATACCCCCTGACTATGACCATGCTGAAGCAGAAGCAGGACATCTCATTTATGAAACTGATGAGGACAAGGATCGCAAATTGACAAAAGAAGAAATTCTTGAGCACTATGATATCTTTGTTGGTTCTCAAGCTACAGATTTTGGTGAATACCTGGTTAGAGCCCATGATGAGTTTTGAATCAGGGTCTCTCCAACTGACAAGCTATTTAACCACTGCAAATATACAGTGGGTTCATCTCTAGAATCTCAGGGGCTTGGTGAGATGACTACCAGTACTTTATGTTCTGCATTGATTCTCTCTCTCCCCAGCAGCTCATTGTCTTATGATCCTCTCCATTGGTTGAGTGTGGATCTGCTATGATTATTTGAATGCTTGTCCCTGGTCTCTGATGTATTGGCAAGTATCAACCATTTCTTGCATTCTGCTTCAGTTGTCTGAGCTTCATGTGCCTTGCTGTTGCTTGTCTTTCTAGATGGCATTTAACTCCTCGAAGAATGAATTGTGTGAAATGTGATCAAATAATTTTTACTACATCATTTTGAAGGAAGCAGCATTTGAGATTGCATTGGAAAAGTTGTAAAAACTTTGCCATCTCAGCAATCTTCACGAAAGAGCCAAATTCAACAGATATTGTATTCTTCAGTAGGTATCTTGGTGCTCTAAATTTTGGCTGTTTTGTAGTTGCTGAACTATCTGAGGCTGAAAATCACCCTCATATAGTACTGTCTAGACCTAGTACATTTGGAAAGTTCGTTATTTCATTGAACCAAAGGTATAAAAATGTTAGTTTTTTTATCCTTCCACTGCATATCATTGGTTGTTATACTATTTCTTTCATATCACTAAAGTGTTGCCTCCTTGTTATATTGCAACAGAAGGCATACAAGGCATTCTCCATACCTGTCTTCCTAAAAAATGGAAGTGAGTTTTTTTTTTTCATTCAGGAGTGTTGATGAACATTTCTGCTTTTGGATGCATATGATGGAATCTATCTAACTTGATATCCAAGAAATATTTGGTTGATTTATTTTGTTATTTTTCCTCATAAATCAGCCTTGGCCTGAAGTCTAATATGAAAATTTTTTATAAGTGTTTTTGTTGGACTTTCTCTTTCTAGGTACAGTAGGGCACAGTGTATCAACACATTTGGTGATACTAAATTACTACTATTCCCTGTTTGAGAATTTAGGATGTCAGAGTGGGAAGTGCCACTTTTTTCGATAGAGTAACATGATTCTGTGCACCCTTAAATAGTCCTGAATAATGTTGTCAAGAGTCATAAACTTTATCTCACAGAAGTGAACTATGCTGAAGAGAAGTGGAACAGAATGGAATTTTGTGTCTAGATTTCACTTGTAGTGTGGTTTTCTGCATAGCAGTCTTTGTGTCAACTACGTTTTTCCTCACACTTAATTGCTCATTATTGATGGCAGTCTTCATAGAGAACTGTCTTTTTTTTCTTGCTTTAAAGAGGGAATGGGTGCTAGATGGAAAGTAAAAGTATGAGATCAGTGCATAATGGTACATCTTTCATGACAACATTTAATTACATTTTTTTGTAACAAATTGACCTGTTTTGCATCTGTACACCTGTCAGATATCAAAAGTGACCACAGTTGCAGCAGTTCTTGATGAATGGTGAAGACCCAGAAGAGACATTTCATACAGGGTGGCACAATACTTACCCCCATGCCCTCTCTTGAAGCTCAATGATATCATTTCCACTTGGGAATTTTTTTTCTTTTAAGCACTTTTAATTATGAGTTTGTGGATTTGCTTGCAACCTCTGATTTATGTGCAGGCAGGATACTCCCAAGATTTTCCAGTCCTACACTTCTTTACTTAAATATATGGCAGACTACTCTGCCATCGTTGAGGAATTTCCAATATAATTCCCCATGGGGGGATTATATTGGAAATGAGAATGTAGATGTGTTACTCGTGGACATCGAATTGTAAAGCTTCTCTGCACCATAAATGTACCTTCCATATACCTTTATATATTGTTCACTTTGTTGAAATTATGTAATTGGACTTCAGAGAGGAGGGCGGCTAATATACTTATCCAAAAAATGCATGATGGAGTTGAGCGATCTTAATTAAATTTAGTTCACAAGCCTGTACTAGCATAGCATGAAATCGATTAGAGTTTCAAGTGTGTGGTATGAGCATTTGTGGGGAAAACTTTTCACAAAATAAAATTTAAATAGCTACTAATCGTCTGAAACAGTTACAGAGAATATTTTTGCTGATGAAACTTAGTAGAAAACTCAAAGTGATATTCAGAAAAATCGAGCGGAATTTTTGAGGTTGTGAGATGAGACAATACAGAGAAAACTTGCCAAATACTCGAGGAATTAGGGAAGAGGTTGGAGCCTTTGAAGGCGCCAGTTTCCTTTTTCCCTCAAGTCGCTTTACTATATGTCCGTAGCAGCGTGGTAGTGCCATTTGTGGAGGCAATTTCAACAAGTTTTAGGGTGTTTAATCCATGGAGAATAATTGGGATGCTTACCATGCATCAGGCTAATGCAGGCATCTCAATTTCATGATATACTAATATGTGCTTGTGTACAAAATTTCAAGATCGCTCCATTCCTTGGTCGTGCTTTTTTTTGGCAATGAGTATATTATGTGCCAATCTGTATTGAACGATGATATTGGTGACATGAAGACGTCCAGAATTTGAGGAGTTTAAATTTAGGATGATAATTTTTTATGACTAGCTAAATCGTAATTTTCCTCATCGCTAATGGCTGAATTCTTAGTTATTTCGCAGGAGACAGGATGACCTAGAAGCGACAGGCACCTCATGTTAAGTGAAATTCTTTCTCCCTTCCTTTATTCCTGCTTTCTTCAGTCGCAATGCGACGGAAGAATCACTGAACTTAGAGCAAAAATAAGATGCTAGGAATCACATGGCTGCCTCGAGTTTAATTGGCTAATCGGTATCCAAAGATTCGGATTTTCCATGCCTTGACGTCGAGTTTTGTGCGTGGGTTTTGGCTGAAACCTGCTGTGGAGTCAAGAGCAAGATCAACCAAATGCGTTCCAATCGCAAGAAGACTGGTTTGGTTCCTTCTGCGTGAAGAATTCGTCGGCTCGTAACGCCCTTGCGTTTGGTGTATCGATTCTGGAACATCATATTGGCTGCAATTCAAGGGAAAAAGCCTTTCTGAAAATGGGCAACTTTGGCCTTCAGCATATAAAGTAAAACAATTTATTTATTTTAATGTCAAAAAGCCCTCCAATAACATGAGCCAATACCAAATTTGGTCTCCTCCTGCCTCCCCACAAAATTTCGCATATTCTGCCAATATATATTCGCGGTTAGCAGAAGAAATGAGTGCTGAGAATCTGCCGTTCATGAGCCATTCGAGCATCACCACAGGAGCAACACTGAGTATTAAAAAAAAGTAAATGTTCATGCATTTTCTTTTAAGTATCGCCCTATGATACAGTGAGAGCCTCATTTTTCTGCATGCATCTCATTGATGCGCGTCAACTTAACTGAGTGCAGGCAACAGGCAGTTTCTATGAAGATATTGGCTTTTGATACCTCATCTCGTGCTGTTCTGGTTGCTTTTTTCATGACTGATTTTAATGCTACTCTGACAGTCGAAAGTCTAACTCTCCATTTATCTGAGATGTCTTGAGCAAAATGAAATGTGGGTTGTACAATATTAGGAATTTATTTTTTGCAGCTTAACTGGCACACTCTAATTTTTAAAATGTAAAACAATTTTAATAGCACATGAGCAATTTATCAAGTTCTAATCTCATCTCTGAGACAGCTTGGCGCTGGTCACCAAATGAACTGCCACTCCTTTTTTTGAGACTGTGTAATGCGACTACTAGATCGGAATCTTTCTTTTCAATGCCAGCAGCATTTTCAGCTGGCCAAAAAATCTGAAAATATTTGTTGCACAATTTTTCTTTTTTTTTACTGTCAGTAATCTTAGCACCGATTCTTTATTTTTTTCCCCAAGAGTTAAATCTTTTCATTGCAAGGGTCTTTGTTTTTGAGGCGAAACTGCAAATTTTCATAAATTGACAAAATGTTTGGTTTAATATTAGTAAGTGATTTCCAGAAAGCCTGCAGGAGTATTCTTTTAATTCAGTGTAAGTAGTGAGGTAAATCACAGCATAAGGGAATCTGTTTCGCACAAGCTTCGCAAATATTCAAATTTTAATCATTCTTTGTACAACAACCTTTGGACAGGATCGAATTCGTGTCAGAATTGAGTGCCCTCCACCTTCGCTGGATGATCCGCGATCTAATGACTGGAAGAAGGATCGGGGTCAGGTTCCAGTGTAGACACTTTGAATGACGTCTGATCTCGTGCGATCCAGGCCCGGGAATGTCTAATCCTATGGGAAGGAAAGTGACTCGGAGATGCTACAGGGTGTCCATAAAGTCTACCTATGAGCAACTTCTTTATTATAAACCCTGAAGTAGCCTTTTTTCAATTTGTAGACTGACAACGTAACGACCTCGGAATGATGTCAGATCTTTTATCCTTTCATATTGGCACGGCCGAGAATTAATTTCCCACATCTGGTGTTTTATGATTTTTTTTCTTCATTTGAATGGAGAAGAAATTCAGAAAATGATTCGAATAAAATTTTGCCGTTTGACCTTATTGCAACAACTTCTTGAAGTTACCATGGTAATGATTAAATAATAGAGCGTTTTGGGAATTCAAAATAATAAAAATTAGGAATTTACTCGACAAATTGGCTCAATGTGTCGACCGCCGATTATCTGACATTTTTGAGCCCTGGCAGTTGCATTGTCGGCAACATCCATGAGAATTCCATAACGTTTCTGGCACATGCCACGATATTCTCTTTCAATTTGTTCAGGTCTGTGGCCTGTGGGTTTGTCCTTATAAACAATGCCTTTTAAGTAGCCCCAGAAAAAAAAATCCCAAGGGGTTAAAAACCGGATATCGCGGAGGCCATTTGCCCTGCCTGACAATTCGCAATGCTGCACTCCATGTCTGAACTTGTAATTGAAACAAGGGTTTGGTAAATAAATTCTCAGTCACATTAGAGTGTAGGGACAAAAGATATGACATCATTCCGAGGTCTACTGATTATCAGCCTACAAAAATAAAAAAGTTGGCTCCCCCAGATTTAGTATGAAAAAATTTGCTCGTAGATTGTCACTTTATGGACACCCTGTATATTCCAAGGGAAAAAGAAAGTGGCGGGAATTCCCAGTCTCGATTATCCAAGAGCAGAAAGGTTTTGAGACCGTGGCTTTCCCGACCACGGTTGTTTCCATCTGGAGAGCTCGTGCTCAGACTTCCAACTAGCATTGAGACATGCCAATATAGTAACAATACAGAGACGATTACTCGGGATTTGAATAAGGACCAAAAAGTTTTCACCCTCCTCAGCGTGAGTTTTCTAGTTACATAATAAGTCTTTGTCCTCTGTACAAAACTGACTTGAGAGAGATGTACTTTAGCATATTGGAATTTGGAAGTTAGGGCAACGGGGAGGCATCTCATGTTGAGGTCATGCTTCTAGAATTTATTGACATTGCGCACAGATCGCGAGTCGTCCACGCCCCAAAGAAGATTCCCTTATCACCATCCACAGGCCGCGTAGGCTTCCGAGTCGGCACGTCATGTACTACGCCGCGAGGTACGTCCCAAAATGTTAAGTCTGAATGCCATAATCAAGAATCTGTTCGATCATCGCATCTATTGCATGTTGTAAATCTCTTGATTCTAATTAGATTATATGAAATTAATTTGTTTGACCATGAGCTTTTCGTTTGGCTCTGAAAATTTTGGTACGAAAAATATACTCATAACGTGGCTTTGTGGGAGATTTGAGCAAGCTGAGCATTTCAACTCTTTATGGATCGGCCATGAGTTCCCAAAAAAGAATTTATTGATACTTTGAACGATACGGAGCGTCACCTTGGTATTAACTC